TTAGACACATAAATTTTGAAGGTCCAACTACCCTACCATTACCTATAAGGGTAAAGGAACAACACCACTGCTTGATAGCTGGAAAGTTCCTATGTGTGTCAACCTTTGTGCTCCGTGGTAAGGCAGACTGGCAAAAATGCCCAAGCTGTATTCACATCGAGAAAACACTCCCAACAGGATTGTTTTCTCAAAAATCGAAGAGCACCACTTTCCGAATCTCGAGAGCCAGACTCCCACCAGGATTGCTTTCTCAAAAATCGAAGAGGCACTGCTATCCAAATCTCGAGAGCCAGACTCCCAACATGATTGGTTGCTAAAAAATTGAAGAGGCATCACTCTCCGAATCTCGAGAGCCATACTCCCAACAGATTGCTTTCTCAAAAATCAAAGAGGCACCGCTCTTCGAATCTTGAATGCCACACTCCCAACAAGATTGCTTTCTAAAAATCGAAGAGGCACCGTTCTCCGAATCTCGAGAGCCAGACCCCAGATAGGATTGCTTGTTCGAAAATCGAAGAGGCATCGCTCTCCGAACTTCGAGAGCCAGATTTCCTTGGATAAAGCTTGTCTGCAATCTTCACATGCAACATCAGCTTTCCAGATACCACAGACCACTTTTTCAAAGTGCTCTGACAAAGTTAAAACATGTGACTCTTGTAGCTCCCACTACATTGCTATGACCAAGAAGGGTAAAGTAACATCGTTACTACTCGCTGTTGGGACAATTCCTATATATGTTGACCTTCATCCTCCACAGCCAGGCAGACCTGCAAATAAAAAAAATGCTTAACTTTTCTTCACATCCGAGAGGGCACTCTCAGCAGAGTCTTTCAAAATACTCAGCTTTTTTCCCCCCGATAATACCTCTGCAAACAAGCCATACCAGAGCAAGAGTATCTCATATCATCAGGGTTAAAAGCAAGAGTATCCCATATCATGCTTTTTCCCTATCTTTTCCTTTACCCTTGTTCTTACCTGCAATATAAGGAGAAAGAGAGCAATCAGTCAGCACTTGGAATCGAGCTTCCAGTAAGGAACTGACTGCCTAGAACTCCTTGCCTAATTACTTACTTGGCATTGCTCTCGAGTACTCATCTTCAACATCTTATGCTTCCAAAAAAGATACCACATCTACCTGAGGAACATATAGGGCAAGTGAGAATGATACAAGAAAGCATGTGGAGACAAGCGCAACAGAACACGTGCCGATTCATCTATTACTTTGTCAACAGCAAAAGTATCCCTTATCATCAAGGTCGAACGCACTTCTGATTTGATGGACTTGTTTTGACCCTCAAATTCTTGAGTCGGCCTTATACTCTGAAGGAAACCAAAAAACCATCTAGCCCAGTTCAAGAATAAGCACGTGGAAAGTTACTTCTTCAAAAGCAAAAATATCTCATATCATCTCTTCTCCTTTTTCTTCTCTTTATCCTTCTTGCTGCCTGCAAGATAGGGAGAATGAAAACAATCAGCTGAAACTCGAAATCAAACTTCTGATCTGGGACTGATTGCTTGGAGCTCTGATTGCTTACCTTGTTTGTCACCTTTTTCGGCAGATCTCCTAGCTCGGCGACTTGGGGGACTCCTATTACATGGTTTGTATCGCGCTTAACCATGTCTAAAACTACAAGTAAGCTTCAAGTGAAATTGATACATTACCTTGTGCATATCCACCTGTTAAAGATACCACCCCTGGATGGAGGAAAAGTACTTCCAGAGAAGATGTCACATCTACCTATGAGATAGATAAGGCAAGTGAAAACAATACCACACTTCGGTACTTAAAAGTTTCATGATTACTCAGCAGCTTGGATCTTGCAAGTCCCCAACCAAGGAGCTTCCCTCACTCGGGAACTTAGGGGAGCACTGTTTGTACCATACTTGACCAATCCTGAAACTATCGAGCACTGGTCAACGTCATACCGTCAATGACCCAGAAGAGTTTCCCTCCAACCAGGAGGCCAATCACAGCGCGACACGTGTCGACATCAGAAGCCAATCATAGTGCGACACGTGTCAACATCAGAAGGCAATCACAACGCGACACGTGTCAATGTCAAAACAAAGCTAGAAACTCTCTTCTATAAAAAGGAGATCATTCTCCCACAATATTTCCTAATGTCATTTGTACTAAATCATTCACTAGTACTCACTAAAGGAGAGCTTGAACATATGTACTTGTGTAAACCCTTCACAATTAATGAGAACTCCTTTACTCCGTGGATGTAGCCAATCTGGGTGAACCACGTACATCTTGTGTTTGCTTTCCTGTCTCTATCCATTTACATATTTATCCACACTAGTGATTGGAGCAATCTAGTGAAGGTCACAAACTTGACACTTTCATTTTTTCATATAACTTCTATTTCACAAAATTTGTTTCATTTTATTTTAAATTCTATTTTTTTTCTATAACTTCTATTTCACAAAATTTGTTTCATATATTTTTTTAATTCTATTTTTTCCTATAACTTCCTGAGCCATTATACAACATTAAATTAAATTAAGTAACATGAAACAACATTAAATAACATTAACCAACATAAAAATTGAGCTACTAGACCCACCCCAATGTCCTATTTTCTCACCCACATGATAATCACACCCACCATAGAAAATTAAAAAAGTAAAATGTTATTTCCCCACCCATCATTATTCCCAAAATAACCATAATATTTTTTTTTTCAAATAACTCTGATATATCTTTAAATAATATTATAAATAAATAAATAAAAATATAAAAAATGAAAGAAATTGCAAGACCTAAGACCTAGACATTCATCATCTCCTTCACACCTAATGCTGCAAAAACCTTGGATCCCCAAACCACTCTTCTTCCTCTCTTTTTTGTCAAAACCGCAGATCTCACTCCCAATTCTCTTTTTTCTCCATTGAAGTTTCTCGCCTTCATCTAGCACACGCCCATTCCTTCCTCCAACATTTCCGTCGATTCTAACCCAAATCTTTCCCAACCTCTTTCCACCAAAGATATCACACCCCACCCACCATTATTTATTTATTATTTTAGTACTGAATTAAATAGGGGTTTAAGAGTCTTCTTTTAAAAGGATAAATATGTTATTAACATTTTCATTAAATGGTGGGTGGGGAAATAAGACACCGGGGTGGGAATATCACCACTCTAAAAATTAGACAACATAAAAAAAACATTTAACAACATGAAACTTAAACAACATTTAAGTTGTAGTTTTTAAATAATAAATTATGTTTGGCCCCTTGGCCCTCGGTTTTTTGTGACAGGGCTAAAACGAGCCCTCTGGCCCTTTGGCCCTCGGTTGGAGATGGAGGCAAATATGACCATGTACTGTTCATTAAAATATTAATAACTTGGAGGATCAAAGGGCTAAAACGAGCCCTCTGGCCAACCTTCGATTGGAGATGGCCTTATCTCCTGAAAAGCAAACTACTCAACTCTAAAGCAGAATTAACAACATTAACAATCATTGTATTATCCACCAAAGACCTCATATACCATCAACAACAATATCCATCATACAAAAAATGACTTTTCTTTATAATTAAATAGTTCCATAGTAATTAACAACAAAAAAATGAAACATATTTGTATCAACTTTCACACAAAATAGAGAATAAGATAGATTTTACAAATCTTATTGTTGTTAAATTAATTTGAATTTTGGTATGATATATGAATTGACGGACCGACGGATCGTTGTGAAAAGAGAATATCAAATGTTTATTAATTTTATGTCATATAAATATATTAAATATGTTAGAGTTAATGGTGCTATGTAACTGAAAGTTCTAATTTGGAACAGGAAAAAATAGGTTTGAATTTGTTGAATACTAACCAATAAGAGGAAGATTGTAAATGAAAGAAGTATATAGGAGGAGGGTTGCAAAAAAAAAAAAGTCAGGATTGCAAATAATTTTTAGTAAAATTCCAAGTGCTTGACAGGGTCGGCCCAGTCCCAGGCCCAGTGCAGGCAGGGCAACCGTCCAAGGCTCAAAAAAATTAGAGGCACCAAAATTATTAGGGTGGTATATTTATATATATTTTTATGATAGTATAAATTCATAAAATTTGGTTCAAAGACACAAAAATTTAACTAGAAGTGATGGTTTGTCATTTGAAAATAATGAGGAGGTCTTGGGTTCAAAACACCATGTGTGCTTATTTACTTTCCATTTTTTACAAATTTCTTTTTATAAGAGTATAAATTTATAAAATTTGGCTAAATGATCAAGAAGTTTAATTAGAAACAATGATTTTTGTTGTTTAAAATTAACAAGAGGTCATAAGTTCGAAATGCTATGTGCATGTTTATTTTTTTCAATTTTTACAAATTTTTGTTTGGTTGTTAATTTATTTATAGTTACTATCTAGTAGCTATGTGGGTTGTTATTTTTAAATATTCGTTTTAATTCACGTCTAATCTTCAACAAAGAATAATACGTAGACCAAATTTGCAAATTATATGATGTGTCATCAAAATGTTTAATTTAGTGCTCATTCATTAATAATGCATATAATTAAAGACTCGAAAACGTCATTATTTTTTAGTCTCATATTAACAAGGTTAGTAAATAAGAAAAAAAACATCTCACAATTTATTCAAAAACACATTCAAATTTCAGATGGAAAACAAAACTCATCATCTATCTACTTGTAAGCCCGAAGTTTTTTTGTTTCCATCTCTCAATACAAAATAAATTAGTCTTTCTGTGTTTCTAAATTATTGAGTTTGAAGTGTTTTTCTAAGTATAATTTCTTCGATGTCTTATGTGTGAAAATAAATAATTTTCTTACATGAAGTTAGGACACTTTTTTTTACGTCGCCCCGAGCCTCAAAAATCTTTGGACCGGCCCTTGTGCTTGAAAACCCCATTAGTTGCATCTCCAATGTATGATTCATTAAAGTTAGGCATACAAAGGACAAACATGTCTAACATAGTGAAGTGCAGGTAAATTTCCATGGCCCTGATTGAAAATAGCAGTGATTAAGAAGCCATATTTAACCTCCCGTTGCTTGTGTTGAATTGCGGTATGTTACTTCTTGAGGAAGAAGATGGTACTTTATGCCAAGGTTTTGGAAAATTTTCTTTAACTCGAACACAAGCTCTGATCTTCGAGCACTCTTTTCCCCATAATTTTGATGGTTCATGGTGTGTTGAACACATAGCGTCATTTTCATCTTATCCACATTCTCTATCTCCTTCACTAGGATTGAGTGTTTTTGGTTCCAATACTTCGGCTTGCTCTCAAGGTATCTGCACAATTCCATGCAACATTTGTAACCAAAAAATAATTCCTCAACATATGTTAGAATATGTAATGATGTTGTAGTTTAAAGTGTTTTTCTGTGACTTTTCATAGTAAAAGACTAACAATTTTACATGTTGCGTGTGAGAAAAATATGGAATATAAAATTTTGAGAGAAGTGTGGAAGAGTTGATTTTTTTCTTTCTATTATTTGATTGTGTAAAATTACTAATCTATTCTTATTATATAAATGTTGTTTTTTTTTTTTGGAAACTATGTAAATGTTGTTTATTGCAACTATTCTATCCTTATTTTCAGAAAAAGGTTTAGCATGTGACATACATATAATGCAACGGTAACGATATATTAAACTTAAACATATGGTGTTCCCTCAAAACAAAAAAAACATATTTCCTTGGAAAATTCGCTCCCAACTTTACTAGGATTAACCAATTAAGGACTACGTACCAAGCATGTACATATTATAGTCCATATATATCGACCTAATAAATTGGTGACCTATAACTTAATTAGCACCCAATTATACACATAAATAGAAATATGGTATCACAAGATATAGCTATTATAATCAGCGTGAAATATATATATTACCTTAATAATTTCGATCATGTAACCTAGTAAAAATGGAAATATTTATGCAAGGTAGATGAGATGGGTTGCTTACGATTGTATGGACTTCTTGAGTGCAGAAACATCATCAACTGGAGTAGAGACATCAATTGTTAAATCAACAGTGTCAGCCATATCCGGACTCCTTCTGAAATTACTAATTGGCTTTGTAAGAAGCACGGAATTTGGGTAGTATATTTTCTCGTTGTGGTATCTTAAGAAAACGGTTGATAAAATGTTCATCTCTTCTACAATCATCTGCATAAAAATAAGTATTCAATGTTTAGTATTGATAGGGTTACTTTATTTTCTTCACTAAGGGTAAATTCTAATGAATTCTGCTAAGGCATAGCAATGGAGAAATACATCATAAAAAGTTAAATAGGAGGGCTTAGAAAGGTACTACATGAGCTGATCAAGAGGCATGTGCGGGAGATTTTGAAATGAATGAGTCATTTATAATTCTCTTTTACATATATTTGAAATACTCATGTAGCGCATTTTCTAATTTTTGACATCTATCTTTTTGTGGCCATTATTTTTATATTTTACATAAATGCCTTGAAATTTGAAAATACCACACCTAAACATTACCCTAAATAATTTGACGTACAATACTTTTTTCATCTCCAACATTAAGACTTGTGACAACACGTTATCCTAATTTTTGCTCAATTTTGAGCCTCATTTATTTATAGTGCTCTAAATTTTCGTTCTTTCATGAGATTATTATTTATTTTATGAAATTGTATTTTCTATTTTATTTACACCTTAGAAAATATGTATTCCTTTCCATCCCCTACTCAGAACACCTTTTCTTTTTGTAAGTTATTATCATATTCACAATATTATATTTACACTCTAGAAAGTCCTCGGTCACCACAAGTTTCCATCTTTTTCGGTCAAATTTTTTAGTCGGCCTAAATTTTGTAAACCAAATGATGTGGATGTTGATAATTGAATTATTAGTTAAGTACTGATTAACGTGCTTATTTCCTATTGATGACACATCATTTGATTTGCAAATTTGGTAGTTTTAATGAAATACTTATGGTACTATTCACTTTAAACGAAAAATCACATTTTTATCTTTTTCAGGTACTATTCACTACTCCTTTATTCATCATCTTTCATTAAAACTATTTTTTTTTGAACTTTTCGTTAGTTTTCCTTTAACAATTTGCTATCCCTAGTATTACCCTTACAAAAAATTACTCCTCAAAACCTTCTCTACGTACGTACCTATAAATTGGGACCGCAAGATAATCGAATTTTTTTTCTAAGAGATGAATGAAGAAAAAAGGTTTGTACAATGGGTTGTTAATATAATTTCCTAGAGAATGTATTCCAAAAAATAAAATAGATAAATATATCTGACCTGCACGCCATCCACCACACATCGATCACCAACATCGAAAGGGTGCATCACAAACACAAAGATGATGGACTCGAACATAGTTTTGCACATGTTCTGGAACATGAATCCCACAAGCAGCAGTTGAGACGTAACAACAAAGATCACCTTAGTTGTGGCCAGACCCATCACCAAAAGGCTCACCACGGTTATAATTACAGTTACGACTGCACTCGCCAACTTGTGAAGTTGTTGGACAGCGGTCTTGGTATCATTCAAGGAGTGAGCCAATGCTTTACGCTCAATATAGGCATACACCTATAAAACCCGTCAAACAATTTTAAATTATTATCAGAAAACGAGTAATGCTATTTAGACAGACAAACTGATCTTGTTAAGGACACACACTGCAATTTAGTTAGCTTTGTACGTCTATATAGTTCAATGTGTGCTGTTTTGATTTCATTTATTGCCATGTTTGTTGTCTCTTTCCTTTAGTTTCTAGCGACAGCATTATATATTGACCGAGGAAATTGCTATTTGTAAATTATATTAAACTCACCACCCAATTTCTGAAGGAAGACTTCGTTATTTTTCCAGTTTCAATTGCTCCTTCAAAGAGAGGAAATATGGTGTGAGTTTCATCACTCTTCAAGAACCGTAGCAAATCTTCCTCTTCTATGTATCTGTATAAGGACGCCAGAAGAAAAATAAAACTTTGAGAATGGTATTCATCGAGGCCTGGTCGGTCTCAATTATCTAAAGGCTACGGTGGTGCATAAACAAAAATATCTAAATAAAACCAAAATGTTAGCTAAATTATGATATCAATGAGTTCATGCATGCTCATTGCTCAGTATGTGGATATAATAACAATTGAAAACAGTCAAGCCAAAAAGACTATTGTAAGGACTTGTAACTTAGTTAATTTAGATTATGGTAAATGTGATTTTAATCCTTGCTTAAGATTATAATTAGAAAAATGTCTTATACAAGATTAAATATTGATTATAGTCCTTGACTATACATCCATGTCAATATATATTATCCATGTCAGCTTTTATTTTTTTGGTGGTTTTATTGATTCTATTTTTCCAACATTGCCCATATGTGATTATGGACAATAACAAATTTTAAATGCTGAGTTAAGAGTGTGCAATTATTACTTAATATATTTTCAATTTTTGTCCATTTTAAACACAAAAGTTCAATTGTATGAATCTTTCATCGTCCTCTTCTATGGTGTTGTGCAGATTCGTTTCTTTGTCCAGGAAGTTTAGCATTTTCACTAAAATCGTGTACATGGGTTTTTGTTAGGATTTGTTGTTTGTTTATGGAATACTTGATATATTAGTTCAATATTTGTATATGATATGCATATGTGTACTGCACATGGTTTCAAATGGTTCTCATGCCATTCGCTCCTCTATATTTTGGCGCACTATAGAAATGAGGTACATTAATCCAACATAAGTACCATGGTTGAGGTACATTAAAATTCTAATAATGTTTTTTTAATTTGCAGGTACCATGTATTAGGTACCATGATATAGGTGTCATGCTATAGGTACTGTGATATAGGTACCATGATTTAGGTACATTATTTACTTATTTGGTATGATGTATTCATTAAAATTTGATTTCTAGAGTTTTGTTTCGTTGTGATATGAAACTTTTTGAATTCTAATCAATACTTTCGTTTTCTTATTTGGTATGTATCTGAATTTCTTATTTTATAGGAGGAAATGAAGCCCTCAAATCAAATATTAATTGTGGGGGTATTTTAGGAACTAAAATACACATAAAGACATTAAATCCAATGAAATATGAGTTTTAATGTTAATTCTGAGGTGGACATCCAGTCAATCCTCTCAAAGTAGTTGTTATTTACTTTATATTTTATTACGTACAGGGTGATGATCGGTGCAACTTTGGCGCATGAGATGATGCATGCATGGTTATCTCTTCAAGGTTAGAATCCAATTTTCTTTTGCATGGATAAGTAAAATGTATTTAAATGACTAACAATATTTGCATTATAACTCCAGACATGCAATATTACAATATTTGTGTTACAACTCTAGACTCTCTACGTTGAGAAAGTAACAAAGTTATCGTCTACCAATATTTATAAGAAAAAAGTTGATTTTAACCCAAATATGACAAAGTATTTTAAGCAAAACAAAGTGGTGGTGCCACATTTACTAAAAAAAATCTCCAAATTGATGAATATTTTATTTGGAACCGGTTGTAACCATTTGGAAAAAAAAGTTTCAGAAGGCATTTGTGAAGTAATGGCCCACATATGGTTGACATCGTGCTGTAAGAAGGGTTTGGAGTCATACAACACCAGGCACGGGCATTCTGTATTTTTGGAAAACTTGCAAAAGTATGCAACATACAAAATAGAATCCAATGTGGACAAAAATTATGAACAAGGATTTAGAGAGGCTAACATGGCGGTAACTAAATTTGGACTCCGAGAAACCATAGATTATATCATTCAAAATAAAACTCTCCCTCGATAATCAGTTTTTGTTTAGACTCTTCAAGAAATAATAAGGATCTCGTGGTCATTTTCTTGAGTTGTTGTATGTTAATCAAATATAAGTTTTCTTCTATAATCCTTCTCATCGAGACTAAAGGGAAATTGAAAGGAACTATGAACTATATATATTGTTTAAACATGAATTACGTTTAGTTTTGTCTAGAATGTGATTTGTAATATGCACGAAGTTACTTTGGCTTGTAAAATGTCATATGTCGAAATTCAAGGAGAATGGATTGAATTCGTCAATTTTTAGATAGCATGTAAGTGTTGACTTCTCACACGGTAATAAAGTTAAGCTTCCAATAGAACATAAGATAGTTTAAGTTTGTCATAAAATTACATATTTACACATTCCACACAATTAGTAAGCTAACTTAAGATGATTAGACAAACTTCTTAAACCGTGTAGATAATAAGTGGCCACACTTTCCCACAACATGGACACAGAGAATGTGACAATTGGGATGAAATAGATGATGAAAATGAAGAGGAACAATCAGAGAACTTCGAAGAGGAGAGAGAAGATGACAGAAGTCAAAGTTTGCAGCATCCGAAAAACAAGTCATTGTGGATAAAGTTTATGGACAATGATTTAGGGAAGCTAACATGGCAGCAAGTAGGACTCCGAGACTCCATAAATCATATCGTTAGAAACAAGACTCTCTCTCGGTAAGTATTTTTTTGGTTGAGACTCTTTAAGAAATAAAGTTCAGCTTCCAATAAAACATAGCATGTAAGTGTAAAACACCTCCATATTGACTTCTCACATGCTAATAGAGTTAAAGCTTCCAGTAGAACATAGCATGTAAGTGCAAAACACCTCCATATTGACTTCTGACATGCTAATGAAAGTTAAGCTAACGTAAGATAATTTCTGTTTGTCCTGCAACTATTTGTTTACATTAGTAAGATAGATAGATCAGTGATAAGACCAACTGATTAAACGGCGTAGACATTAACTGGCCACATGTTCCCACAATATGGACACACAAACTGCGAACGGAGGATGTTGCAGTCTAGATATCCACATCTGTGGCAGGCTAGTACTTCAAGTGGTGGAGCACTCGGTAAGAATGAGATAGGAGGTTGATTCGCATGAAAAATTGTCACTTGGCATCACAGGAGAATTGTCAGTCGGCAGTTCAGGAGAATTGACCGGCGGCAGTTCAGAAGAATTGACAGGAGAATTGTCAGTCGGCAGTTCGGGAGAATTGTCAGTCGGCAGTTCGGGAGAACTGTCAATCGGCAGTTCAGAGATTGCAGGTGGAATCCCATCAGAATTGGCAAATGCAACACTCGTAGCATGTTGCCTTCTCAGTCGCCGTCCCCCGAACTGCCAACTGACAATTCTCCCGAACTGCCGACTGACAATTTGGCAAATTGCAAATGATCAAAGGCATGACAACCTAAAAAATCACCACTTGATTGTGGGATGATGGGTTGCATGGCTTCACCGGCGGCTGTGGAGCAATATTAATGAAATACTGCATCTAAACATATAGCACAAAAATAAGTAAAGCAATATTTAAAAAGAATATATTTGTTTTCATCAACAATACAACTAAGTGAGCATACATATTAAAGCATTCGACCCACTATGTACCTGATGAAAATGACCACAAATTATCTAAATCGACAAACCCATACCATAGCGCATATCTACATGCATTGGAATTTGTTAATTAAAACCAAATTCACATAGCCTTTCAAATTTACATTTGATATTTTTCTTTTGACATCTTCATTGAGATGCTCTGAATATACAGACATTATTAAAGTAAAAACAGAGATTAATCGAAAGTTTAATTTAAGGCCTCAATCATCAATTGTGACTGAAGAGGAACACATTACATTGCAATTAAACTAAATTATATTATCCTCCTTAATCACCCTAATTTAACTTAAAAAAAATTAAATAATAATTCAAAATTCATAAGAAATTAAAAAACATTCCAAGTCAATAAGTCCATGAGCATGCACATTAATACCATATATTACTTGGGCCGAGACATCAATTTTTTAACTTAAATATACATTTGGGCCATTAAAGAGTTAAACTACAAACTTGTTAATCTAAATAATTTAGGCTTTTGAGGGCCCAGATACATTGAGCAGGGGAAGAGGAATTAGGGTTTCTTTAACCTTCACTTGAACATTATAGTCCAGGCAATTCGGCAAGGACGATTATTCTCCATCGTTCTCTGCCTCCCTTGTCTTCCACTCTCTCTCCCTCTCTCCTGGCTTTCTACCCCTCTCACCCATCCTTATTCCTTCCACCACCCCCACACTCCATCGCCCACCCACCACCCCGAGGAGCCTTTCAAGAGGTAAGTCGAGATCGGAAGGTGGCTCTCGTCAACTACGGAGAGGGCTACGGGGAGCTCCTTGTCATCGTCGTCCACCACCATGCTTCCTTCCACCACCTCCACACTCCGTCGCCCAGCCACCACCCCCACGGGTCCAAGACTTCTGTCTGGCATCTACAAACCCTTAGCTTTGAAATTACAGTTTCACTCTCTCAAATTTAGGATTTGGGATTTTTTTTTCTTTTTTTGCTCAAAGCCAACCACGAAGCCCTCCACACTCCGTCGCCCAGCCACCACCGCCACGGGTCCAAGACTTATGTCTGGCATCTACAAACCCTTAGCTTTGAAATTACGGGTTTCACTCTCTCAAATTTGGGATTTTTTTTCTTTTTTTTTTTTTTTTTTTGCCCCATGGCAAGGGAGGTAGAAGAAACTGGGATTTTATTATATATTCATGCAGTATAACAAAAACGGCTTAAAACCAACAACATTATTACTTCAATTTAAAAGAAAATTACCTCTGTGTCTTCAAATCCTCGGCTGGTCTCCCTGGCGGTGGTTTGATTTCATGTGCCATGGACAGCTTTTCATTTTTTTACATTTGGAACGACAATAAGATGAATCAACATTTCTGCCCAAATACTTCTATAAAAAATAGAGAAATAAGTTTTGAGAAGGCTCACCATGGGAGGGGTGAGAGGGGCTGCAAAGCATAAGCAGAACAACAAGAGCAGCGTCCCCATTTGAAATCTGATCAAAATGTGAATAAACGCTTGATATATATATGAAAATGGTGTTGCAATTAGTTTCCAAATGTGGAAACTGCATTCCCTCCAGTCAGAGTTCTAATTATACCATTATTGACAGCTCTTTTGTCTTTTTCCTACTTTTAGTTATTACTAGCAAAGTACTGGTTTTAAAACTGTACAAAATACGTAGAAAGTTATAATGTGTATATACACTATTTACATATATATAGGACTCTATTTACAACCCTAAAAAAAGGTTTCAATTTCCACATAACATAAACAGTTGGCACAAATCTTACCAAGAATTCTAATATATATGAAGGGATCCCGTAGATGACATTGTATTAAGCATAAACTAAGCAACACAAACCATACAATTGATATTCACATCAATCAGCTATACCAGAATCACTAATCAAGTTGACGTAAAAAGTTTTATTACGTGCACAGTTTACATCTGTTGGAAGGGTGCAAGTGCATTTCGAAAAGCCCGCAGTACTGTTTACTTTAACGAAAAATTATATTTTTACATTAAAAAGTCAATTCTGATACTATTCACTTTACGTTTTATTTTGTCATTATCCTTAAAACTCAAAGTTTTCAAGCTTTTTTTCATTAGTTTTCCTAAAAATTTATCTAGTCAAGAGACATAATGTAATGGTTGTGAGCGGCAAGAAGAATTTCAACATAACTAAATGTGGTCAAAGTTCAAAGAATTTTGAAAATGAGATCGTGATTGCAAAAACATATAAATAGAGAACTGTAAAGAAGCAGATACCAGTTTTATACATTAGATTTTGAATGTTGATCCAAAGTTCATAGTGAAACGGGTGATGAACAACTCTATTCTTCCCCCTATTTTAACCAAACAAAAACTCTTTGATGTCACTAAATAGAACCAGAAATTTGTGTTTTCAAAGCTACAACATCACTGAAAACAACATGGGACAAAAATTGAAAAAAAATCAATCGAAATTTAATGTAAGCAAAGAAAAAGAAATAGAAACTTAAAATATACGATCTCCAAACAGCTTCGTAAGGTGATACATTACAATTTAGATATGTTAATATTTCATCATTTGGATCTTGTTGAAAAACTAATTGTGCTCTATCTGAACCTTTATTTACATATTTGAACAAATATTTTATAACCATTGATTCACAACAGGATTCAAAATTTATGAGCATTATATCTCAAAAGTAGTTCAGGATTATAAGGAACAACAAAGCTGCTATCAATTTTGATTCCATTTTTTAAAACAAATTTTGTATCATCATCACGATGCCCATAAACTGGAAAACCATTGGGTTCAAAAATTGTCTCATTTTTATATGCTTTAGGAATGTTTTTGAAACACTTATTTTCCCGCATGCAAGAAGAATTTTGATTAATATGACCGCATGGATCATGAATTGATTAATAGTTTCATAAAGTTGAGGATTGACAAATTTGTCTGGCAACTCAGCTGAAATAATAGAATCTATATCTGATGCAATGTAGCACTTGAAATTTGATTTCAGCCATATTACATATGAGAATGAGGTAAACATCTGTTTTGAAATTCAATTGTACAAACATCTATTTGTAAAAACATTGAAAATAGAAAGTAAAAAAAAAGTTAGTTTTATGAAGCAAAAAAAAAAAAATGAAATATCTAAGATAAGGAGAAAAATGAGTTTTTGGTACTCATTTGCTTTAACTTCTACAAAAGGCTTTCCAAATTTGATGAAGTCAAGCATATCATCAAATTTCATTTTAAATATTCTAGAAATTATATCAGGTCTGTCCTCAGGTTTGAATCCCAATTTTTTTTTTCTCTTATAATTTCTGCCACTTTACATTACAAGTAAATGTTAAGGTAAATTACACAAAACTACCTCAACTATTGGTGTTATGACACTTTCATACCTAATCTTTTTAAAATGACAATGTCATTTTACGAATTTGTGCCAATGTCATATGATAGGAGCATATTTATGCGACTGAGTTAGCTTGTTCTCATGCATTTATGTTGTTATTTCTTAGTTAATTATGTATTTTAAGCTATTTTCGTGTGTTTGTAGGTCCAAAGGGTTAATGTGGCAAAGAAGTGCATTTTGGAGCATTTTGGAGCATTTTTGGGCATGAAATGGATATCTTATGCTTGGAGCAAAAGGAATGGACGAAATTTGAAGTTTGTGCATCATCCTCTCCCTATAAATAACTATTTTAGCACACTCATTTCACCCAACACATTCACCTACCACTACATACACTCATTTCACCTAATACATTCACTCATTACAACCACCCAACACATTTATCTACCACTACATCCACTCATTTCACCCAACACATTCACCTACCACTACATACACTCATTTCACCTAATACATCCACTCATTACAACCACCTAACACAATTTATCTACCACTACATCCACTCATTTCACCCAACACATTCACCTACCACTACATCCACTCATTACCACCACCCATTACATCCTCTTCCTAGCCTATAAATACATTCATCCACCCTTCATCAAGGGGGAGGGAGATCAATCCAAACACATCCATTCATCTTCACATCTTTTCCTCCATACAAACAAACCTTCAAACACTTACCAACACCTTGTGCCGTAGAAAAGGAAGGGAAGGAAAGTGCTTGGACGTGCTTGCTGTCCAACTTGGATCGTTGGAGCGTTTAGGTGTTTTCTTTTTTTTGTTTCCAATGTTTAAATTCATTTTCTTTTGTTTTGTTGTGAATATGAGTGGCTAAACCCCTCTTGGCTAGGGGTGATTTCAAAGCCATGATTATGTGTGTAATATGATTTGATAAATTCCAGTTATGAACTCTTGAATGGTAAATGCAGTTGGCTTAACTATTTGATTGATAACTTATTTGTATTTGTTAATTAAGGGTCGACACTTAATTGGCATGCATAAATCCGTTGCTAGAATATAAGGAAGTTTCACATAATCGTTGCAAACTTATATTCACATGTAGTGAAGGTCGCTTATAAACGATCGCGTTAAGTTCAATTCCTAGCATGAGTGACATGATGCCATAGTTGCAAGTGCTTTGTCAATGCTTATGATTTTCATTAAACGTAATGATCTTTGATTGTATCTCTATTATGATGTCATGTAGGGAACTTTAGAAGAATGTTTTGGGTTGTCGAATGATGTCATCCAATCCAATAAAACAAGGAAAATCTGAGAGTTAATTAGTGATGTCACGATTAATTTGGAGCATTGTCATTCATAATTCAATGAAGTAGTAATTGGAAATCGAGTTATTTGCATACATGTCATGTGTGGAGAAAAAGCCTCTAGCTATCTCATCCATCATCTTATTTCTCAAATTTGTTTTACAATCTGTCTAGTTTTTCATACTTGTTTGTTTGTTTCAACTTCGTCCAAAACTCAATCCCCCCTTTACTTTAGTGTGTCTAATTATTTATAATCTGTTTTAATTCGTGTTTTTAAATGTTTTGATTCAAGTAAAAGTTAATTTTCGTCCAAAGTCATTCCTAGTATCTAGTTTAAGTTTATTTAGTTGTTTTAAGTTGTTTTGAGTATTTTAAGTTTGCTTTAAGTCTTGTGAGTCTTGTTAAGTATTTTTAAGTTTAGATTTATGTTTTTGAGTCAGTTTAGAGGTTATTAGCAAGCCCTCCTAATCCCTGGTCCAGAACGATCCCTACTTATACTTGTACTACAATTGTCAAAAGAGGGTTAAATTTGTGTGTTAAGATAATTTTCGCATCATCATACCTCCGTCAGTTTTTCTGTTAAGTGCTGACGTGGCCACATGCAGGATCTACTCACTAATTATTAAATATATTTTTAATAATTAAAATTTTAAAAAATAATTTTTTAAGGGTGATATCCATACCTTTTTTTACTTCTCTCACACCTTTTTGGTTTTCGGCCGTTGGATTGGATGATTTGAAGAACAACGGACAAAAATTAACAAGGGGTGTGTGAGATGTAAAAAGGAGTGGATAGCACCCATTTTTTTACTTCTCTCACACCTTTTTGGTTTTCGGCCGTTGGATTGGATGATTTGAAGAACAACGGACAAAAATTAACAAGGGGTGTGTGAGAAGTAAAAAGGAGTGGATAGCACCCTTTTTTTTATTAAATCTCTCTCCTCTCTCCCCCCTCGCCTCTTCTCTGCATCTCCAAAACCCCTTCCCACCCGACTCCCCCCTCCCATCCCCTCCCCCTCTCTCTTTCATCCCCCATCTTCATCTTCTTCCCTGCAACCTAGAAAACAAAATAAAAAAATAAAAAAACCTAATTTGTCTTCCCCCCTCCCTACTGCCCACCCCCTTTTCTCCCCCCACCTGAGCCCAACCCCCTCTTCTCCCCCACCTGAGCCCAAGGTGCAACCCATGAAAAAAAAAAAAAAAAACCATCTTCACCTTCCCCGACCCCCCTTCCCTGCAACCCACCCCTTTCTTCCCCCCTCTTGTCTTCCCTAAACCCTCCGCACCCACCCTCGCACCCACTACCTCAAACCCGAAAAAAAAAATTTAAAAAAAAAAAAAACCCTGATCCCATCTACCTCGGTGAAGGTCGATTCCGCGGGTGAACCTGGGCGCAAAGAAAATGGGGGGAATGGGTGTGGATTTAGGTACCATTTGGTACGTGGGACGAGACAGAACGGAGTGGAACGAGACGTTCCGTCCCACGTTTGGGTGAATTTTCATTCCACCTCACCCCCTGGAAAGACTCATTCCACATCCGTGGAACACAAAATTATAACCTCTTCGTACCCTTCTTCTTCCTCCTTGTTTCCATCCGAGGGCATCTTTGCTCCTTCTCCGTTCCGTTTGCATACCAAACGATACCCTTAAGGAGTGGGGTGTATGGAGGAGGGAAGAGGGTGGGTGCGAGGTTGGGTGCGGAGGGTGGGTGCAGGGAGAAGACAAACTAGGAAGATGAAGATGGGGGAAAAGAGAGGAGAGGATGATGGGAAGGGGAAGGTCAAGGAAGTTTGGGCTTTTTTTTTTTCTCTCTCTCTAGGTTGCAAGTAGGGGGAAGAAGATGAAGATGAGGGAGAAA